CGCGATCCCCGTGTTTTCCCGGCGCAAACAGAGAGACAAGAGGGGAGGACAGCTCCGACTTCCTTATCCCTGCCGCTTCCACAGTGGGCCACCCCGCACTGGCCTCCTCTTTTGTCTTAGGGGCGAAACGAATGTTGCATTGGGTGTGGGGGGGACTAGGGTACGTGTAAGTACTGTACTTCGAAGGTGAGTCGGGTTGGTTCCGAGCGTTTCGTCGGTGAGTGGCTTTGCGGAGGAAGGGATGTCCCGGGCGTTCGACGGCCGATGGAGGGGTTTCTCCCGGCGAGGCACGGAGGCGTTCGACGGTCGATGGGGGGGTTTCACCCGGTGATGCGTGAAGGCCCAGTATGGTCGTTCCGGAAATGCGTTGCGGTGCATTCCGGAGATCAGGATTGATGAAAATGGAAAATGGATTGATGAAAATGGATGGTGAATGCGTGAGAGTGCAAGCACGGAGTTGCGGGGTTCGTCATCAACAACTCGTGCAGGATGCAGCGAGAGCAGCCGAGCGTCTCGACGGCCCCGGGCTTTCATCTCAATTAACGATCGGTTCCTTGCGTGAGTTCCGCAAATGAAAATGCCAAAAAATAACGCAAATGAGAGAAGAAAAAAGGGTTTTCAACCAAGAAAGAGATGGAAATCCCACCGAGGTTCTGATCGATGCCGATCACATCTCTTCCTGCCTAATTGAAGGACTTGAAGGGCACATAATTCGCCACGGATAAGAGGAATTAGATCCGCTCCTGGCGGAATCGGATCAGGGCGGATGAGTATAAAAAATGGGAAGAGGTAATGGGTTTCGTTGGGATCGCAATTTCAGGATTTCTCTAGTCAATTCAATTTGCAGGGGGGGACGAATTTTTTTTTTGCCTGTTGCACTCTCATCCTCTTTAGGAGCTGGACGCCATCTGTTTCGTGTTTTTCTCTGAGGATCACGAATTCGCTCGAAGGACTTTCGCATCCCGTTTAGTTTTCCTTCTGTGTAATTTTTTGGGTTATAAATAAAACTGCTAAGAAATTGAAGGACTGGAGGTTCGCCGCCTGTTTGATTTCAGGGTGGATCGATGGATTAGGTAAGGTCAGAGGAATAGACGATGGAATCTTAGTCTCTTTAAGACCTCAATTGCCGGTGGATCGTACAAAATTTCCAGTGGATTATAAGTAGTTGCCAGTGGATCATAAATAACGATAGATCGTTCCACGTACTTCATGGTCTCGATTCTGGTGAAAGAATAGATTGCATGCAATATACTGTGTATGTTCACGCTTTTTTTTTTTAGGGACTTGGAAGTGGAAAGCCTTATCTTGCCGCTCGCTTATCGTTCTGCCATATGTTGAGATTTTAATATGTTATGTATTTTATCGAACGATGAGAATGCTCGAGCAAGCATCGTTTCCTCGAGACGTTTCCGGCCCCCCCCCCCCCTCCGAGGGAGTGGCATGGGGGGGGGCCCTGATCGGAATCTCCCTCTGGTCTAAGGTTGATTTCAACACTGCTGTCCAGTCGCAGTTCGATTCCGGTTTTAGTTCAATCGTAGTTCCGGTATGGATTTTTTTGGCGATAGAAGTCGGCAAGACCACAATGAAACTACAGTCAGACCAAAGTCTAAACTGAAACTAGAACCGGACTGCAACTGAACTGCCGTTTTGAAAACAGCCCAGGGAAATGTTCCGTGTAGACAATGGACCACGGGAGAGATTTTTTTGCTTGCATAAAATGGAGAAAGCTGTCGAATTAATCCAAGTCAATGATTGAATAATTGAGTCACCTCGTAGGCCAATTGAGATCCCAAAAGCTGCGGAGCAACGTGGCTCAGCTGAGCCACTCGTTGGTTTTCGTGGTTCCTTGAAACCAAATGTGATTTGGCATTCTACCACCTCGCAAGCAAGAACTTGGCCCACGCCCCTTCACAAGTGCAAAGAAACTGGTTAACGGTGTCCCATGGTACCGGGTGGCCGACCACTTCGCGATGCATCCTTCTCACACCCTTTCCCCTTCCACCTGCTCAAATGAACATCGCATCTTGCCTTCACATGTTTATGAAGTCGACTACGAAGCCAAAACCGTTTACGGCATGTTTAAGCCAAGGAACAGCGTTCCTCGATCGTTCGCCCGACGGGCGGCAAGCAGGACGAAGGGAGGACAGCTCCGACTTCCTTATCCCTGCCGCTTCCACAGTGGGCCACCCCGCACTGGCCTCCTCTTTTGTCTTAGGGGCGAAACGAATGTTGCATTGGGTGTGGGACAGTGAGGGCATTTTTTTCAGACAGCTCAAGCGGACGAAAACGTACAATTCCCACATTAATGCGAATCCCTTCTGTTTGATCGATATAATCAACAACTACAGTATAATTATACAGTTGCAAGCACGCTCGCACATATTCTCATATATGAATGATGAACGTTAATTTGCGAATATCTCTTTACACTTCGATAGAGACAAATGAATTATTGTTGCTCTGTACTGTAGATTCGGATATGATCATGGGCTTTCAACGACCCCGTCATCTTCTGGACTTCGTTACATCTTGAATGTTTAAACTCCAATTTCATGGTTTTAAAATGCAAAAAATTTAAGTCTAAAAGTGCCTCAAGTTTTCTTCTGTAGCGATAAAACTGACAAGTGACAAGGGTTGCATCTTGTCTCCTTACCAGAAAACTTGTAAGAAGTAAGGAATCCCTTATCGTAGACGTCGTGTGTCCCCGACTCGTGACAACAGGTGCGCTTCTTAATGGAACTCCTCATTCCCAGTAATGAGAAAGCTCCAGGGGGGCCATTCCTCTTTTGTCTCTTTCCTTCATTTCCCGATTGTCCTTCCATGTAAGGGCTTTTTTCCCCCCACAATCTCTCTTCGCTCTTTTTTCAGGAAAGCCTTGGAGGTGCAGTTCATCACCCTTCCGTCGGTGACTTGGTGTGGTCTGGGACCTTTAAATGCTTCGGGGAGGCATTTAAATGAATGAAGAAAACAGATGTGTTATATAAATACTGAGGTGAGTTTATTCCCCTCTTCGCCGATAAATACAATATTACGATCGGTGGGTGCAGATACGGGAAGCGAGAAACGACGAATCAAGCCGGCATACTTTATATCACAGGACACCCTGGGCCTGGGGGAATGAAGAAAATTACTCAGTGGAGCACGACGACCGAAAAAAGGACTAGACTGCAGGGCGTACGCGACAGCACGAAGAGGGGATTGCACGAATCCATGAAACCAGACAGATTGATTGTCCAGAAACGCAGAGGGAAAAGCCCGATGCTTCCTGCAACACAGCGAACCAAAGAAATCCAGAAACCTGGAAGCTTGTCCACACGACAGATTTCAGTCCAACGTCGTCAGAGGGATTCCAGGGGATGAGGGGGTGGAGGGGGGCGAGTGGGGGTGGAGGGGGGCGGGGCGGGGGCAGGGTGGGGGCGGAGAGGTGTAGTCTCAGGGCGCCTTGAAGGCCGGTGCCTCGCGTTTCTCGAAGGTGTCGTACTGTGTGGAATCCAGAAAACGGAAGTCATTGTGGGGGAATCCCAAGGAATGTCGGTCGATTTCGTCGAATTCCCCCTTCTTGGCGTATTTGTCGAAGATCCACATGGGGCCTGCATTTCTCTTTTTCCTGCTTCCGTCTTTCTTGGCGAATCCCATGCTGTTGCGGTCGATTTCGTCGAAGTTCTTCTTTGCGAATCCCATGCTGTTGCGATCGATCTCGTCGAAATTCTTCTTGGCGAATCCCATGCTGTTTCGATCGATTTCGTCGAAATTTTTCTTTGCAAAGCCCATGCTGTTGCGATCGATCTCGTCGAAGTTCTTTTTGGCGAATCCCATGCTGTTGCGATCGATCTCGTCAAAATTCTTCTTGGCGAATCCCATGCTGTTGCGATCGATCTCATCGAAATTCTTCTTAGCAAACCCCATGCTGTTGCGATCGATCTCATCAAAATTCTTCTTGGCAAATCCCATGCTGTTTCGATCGATCTCATCGAAATTCTTCTTGGCGAATCCCATGCTGTTGCGATCGATCTCGTCAAAGTTCTTCTTTGCGAATCCCATGCTGTTGCGATCGATCTCGTCGAAATTCTTCTTTGCAAAACCCATGCTGTTTCGATCGATCTCGTCGAAGTTCTTCTTTGCAAAGCCCATGCTATTTCGATCGATCTCGTCAAAGTTCTTCTTTGCAAAGCCCATGCTGTTGCGATCGATCTCATCGAAGTTCCTCTTTGCACTCCCAAGCGTCAGGCCACTAAAAGAAAAAAAAAGTAATACGATTATAATTAAAGAGAATTTAAAAATTCCAAGTTAATTCTCGTCCGATTACTTATTCTCATATTTAAGCTAGCCTGCTTCAAGTTGAACTGATCCAATTTCCTCTTATCGCCAGTGCGTTGCATTGGAGAGAAGTTTAAGTCATAACATACTGTTATGGTCATATGCTTCACGGGCGTCGCTAATTAAGTGTGAACGGAACTCGACATTCCTCAGATCCCCGCGATCCCCGTGTTTTCCCGGCGCAAACAGAGAGACAAGAGGGGAGGGAAGAGGGGATGGGAAGAATTCGTACCTGAGAGCGTCGAGTCTCTTGTGGAGGGCGTTGTACATGTGGTGTCCCATGTGACTCGATTCCGCATCTCTCAGCAGGTTCGCTGCTCCTGTGGGGGAACATTCAGCATAAGGAGCGTTCAGCAATGGGGACGTTCGGCACGGACGGCGGTCGGCGGTTGCACCTCTTACGTATGCGAGAAGCTTCGAGGGAATGAACTACTATCGATCTTATGTTTTTTCCTGCGTCCAGTGCAGAGTCGCGAAATTCTAAGAAATTCTTCGTGAATGTTCGCAGAGATTTAAGTACTCCCTTTCATTGGTAAATAAATATTGTAAGGCTGTCCGATTTTCTAGGAAATGCTCTTTCTCATGTTAGTAACCTTTCCTACTTTTTCATCGATTTTGTGAATTTAAAAAGCGACAGGAAAACACACTTTAAATTTAACATGCAATGGATACGTGGAAGAAGTAAAGTGATAAAAGTAACGAATACATAACGTCACTGACTAAGAAGCATCGAGTGCCAATAGGAAAGCCGGTCGCCTTTAGGAACCAGGGCCTTCGTTCCCCGGATCATTTGCCTCAGGGACATTGGGTAGGCTTATTACCTGGATGCTTCGTCGTTTTCTGTCGGCATTAATCAAGAATGATGAAGGGGTCTTCTTTCCACGCAATTTCGTCCCGGAGCACAAGTGACCTCGCCGGGAGAATGATTCGTCCAAGAAAAGTCGAGACGACCAGCGCACCGGAGCTTAAACCCGGTGCAAACGAGATGGGTCCCCTTTAATCATTGATGACCTCATTTCTTTTCAGCGGCACCGAGCTGGAAATTCCTCGTTGGTATCTTTACTCTGGCGAAATTTTCCAGTCTGTCTGTTGCTGCTCCAGGCATGTCTATATCGTAAACAACTCGAGCCGCATTTTCCTGGAGCTTTTCGAAATGATAACTCAACCAACCGCATTTTATGCTTGATCTGGTCCCACTCGACTGCGTGCAATTGTTCGTCGTCGACGTATCGTTGACAGAGCGAAGCCCTTGAGCCGAGATGTTTTTGTTCGCATGAAAATTGAATTCTATTCTTACGTGAGGGGATGAAACCATCCCATCGTGGTTTGTTTTTAAATAGGGGAACTCGCATTACGAAAGTCTGATGCTCTCATCAGTCGTTCGTTGCATAACAGAAATATCCGGATTTCCACGCATATTTTCCAAAGACATCTTGCATCCTCTCCGTTTCTCGACTCTTACAGACACCACAGACCCATCGCTTTTCTAGAAATGCGAGACGGGGAAGCTCATTCAAGAGGAAAGGGATCCTCCTGAGATTGCAACTGTTTTCTCGTTGCCATGGATACGCACACATAGTGTGATTCGAAACAATATTCCTACAAAGAAAGCTATCACTCAGGAATCGCGTCTTCATGTCTTCCGGTTCCGCACGAAATCGCTTAAAGGCGTAGAGAGAGCACCTCGAGAGCTCATCAGCCGAATGCACCTGCCATCGACGGATCGCGCTATGGCGCCATTTGGACGGCTGTAAAAGGATAGATTATCCTCAGATCGCTGTCTAATCCCGGATCTGACCCCAAACCACAGAGCGAAAAGAAAATAAACTCCCCCGTCACGTGCGTTGCGGAAGTATCGCTGCGAAACGGGTCACAAGGGAACTGACCTGGTTGCATCCGGTCGGAGATGACCCAGGAGGGCGCTTGGAAAGCAAGCGACCATCCTTTCGGTCGCTTATGCCGCTCGACTTCTAAGTACTTATGGCCTTATACTCTCACGTTACCACTTCATGTGGCCCATGTTCGAATATGGAGCAACGCGTATGCTAGATTTCATGGCACAACTTCCCTCACCTACGGAGATGTTTGAAAAAGCAAAGCATGCTTCGAAAAAATATATTTCTGGTGAAGTCAACTTACCCAGAGAACATTTTAAACGAAATAGTTACTTCCTCCAACACGGCATTAGATAAGACAACTGTGCCATGTTCCTTCGCAGCTCCTCAAGGTCACCGAGAATTTCCGGGACATCCATCCATCCGAACGGGTGACTCCGATCCCCCCCCCCTCTGCTGTCGTTTCGATGAAAAGTTTCCGTGCCATGGCCCGTTGCGTAGCTCCGTATATACGACATGCTAGATTGTATGTTCCCCGAAGAATGACGTGAAGGCTGGCCCGCCCTTTATGTTGTATGCACTGGCCTATTAGGATGGTTCCGGGTCGCATCGTAAACCGTGACCGAACTTCAATATCGCTGCCACATCGAAGAGGCGTGAGTCAACACGCGATGACGTCAAACTACAATGGTCTTTTGCCTCTCTCCTCGGTTCTCTTTGGGGGCCGAAGCGCGCAAAATTAACCATTGCCTCTGCTAGAGAGGCACTTCAAGGCCATATTATCTCCGATTCAAAAGCTCATCGTGATTCGCGTGCGTTGTCTCTTCCATGGTTTTCCTTCAGACTCTGTCTGCACGAAGATTTTGATCGAACCAGATGACCAGTTTCATCCTGAACGACTCAAATCTACGTGGATGGGCTTAAATGAATCATGCGAGGACTGATCATTTCATGACGGCGCCTGCCTCTCACCTAATTCCTCACCAGGGAAAATTCAGGCTTCAAGCCTGTCTGGCTTCACTTTCGAACCTCTCAGTGGCCCATCCTGAATCTTCACGGCTCCCGTAAAAGGCCCTGGTCGTCAAATTGCACTGAATGAGGTACGTAGAGGTGGGGGAATCACACACCCAACTGATTCATACTGCAGGTTCTGCCCCGATCATGAAAGATTTACCTAGTCGATCGGAGCCTTATCAAATTTTAACCGTCGTCCTCGAAACGCTATTTCAAGACCACGAGACATCGACCAGCAGCAAGGTATCATCATGATAGCATCGATCGCGTGCATCTTTAAATATGCATCAGCACCACCGATTTCGATCTATGGATCATCTGCATGTCAAGATTTGACAAGGCGATGAATAATCCAAAGAATACATAATTTACTCCTCCCTCATCATCCTCGATCGACCTCTACCGTAACCTCTCGGACGGCGAGAGGACATCACGGAGTCGGAATCATCACGGAAGTCATCATCAAGACATCACGGAGTCGCAGCCGGAACGGCTCATCAGGAATCCCCATTGAATGATTGAGAGGAAACGGAGCGGGGCTCACCGAGGGAATCGAGCGCTCGCAGGAGATGGGCATTGCCGAGGGAGTCGAGGCCGCGGAGCAGGTGGGATCCCCCGAGACCGTCCAGTCCACGGAGCAAGTGGCCCCCACCTGGAAAGATGGAAGCGGGAGTCCTTCAGCTGATGGTTTTTGGGGTTTCAGTTTTCATCTCGGTCATTTGGTTCAGAAGAAGGACCTGTTCGAGTATCGTCACATTGCGTTGTGAAGAGACGTCGTGAGACGTTTCCCCAAGTTTTCTTTTCCTTGATGGTGCCAAACTTACACGGAATTATTATTTTTTTTCGAGCGAAAACCAGGACCCATCCTATGGGTCCTGGTTTTCCAACTATGAGATAATAGAGAGAGCTTAATTGGAGATAAATAATTGGTCACCAAGTCTTCCGGGGAATTTCGACCTGCTCTCATTATTCCCAACGAGTCCTCATCTCATGAACTTCAACACTCGCAACACTTGCAACAAGATTACAAGAACCTTACAGGAAACCTCTCAAAAGCATCCGACATGTCTAACACAGAAGAAGCCCTTTCATTACGGTTGTCTTCGAAGGCGAATGAGTCGCAGAAGCAATAAAGCGCGAGCGCTTTCAAAACGAAACTTTGAGCTGAACTTCGCCACTCGCTGACCCAATATCCGAACCTATCGAGAAAATTGAAAATGAAGCGTCACGAGGGCAAATTCCGATTCCCAGGCTTTGAAGACGCGAGTCACTTTCCTCAAACTTAAGGGATCATCTGTAAATTCATGGAACTTATTTTCGCATGCCATATTCTGGTGTGACAAATTAGTTCCAAATAGCGAGACCTATTAATGTCAAAGATTTTTTTTTTCAATTACGGTGGCGTCCTAACGCAATCGGGTCGTCTCGATCATCTCAGGCATTATATAATGAATATTATATAATAAATAAAATGATGACTGCGTCTCTTGAAATCGCGAACTGCACCATGACTTGGATCCATCACTGCAATCAGTTCCGGGGAATCACCATCGTATATCGTTGCGGAATTAAGAACCTAATTTAAATGTAAATAGGCACCTACACTCGCTGATACTACTTTCGAATCCTTTCCTTAATTTCTCATTTGGGAATTCAACTGTATGTTGCATTTCGTGCAGGGTAGAAAAAATTCACCCGGATCAGCACATCTTCTTTAAAAATAAAAAAAAGAAAAAAGTCCCCCGTTGGAAGGGTTTTTCCATTCGTTTTCTGCAGGAAGCTTTTTCTTTCGTTTCCCGCTGAGTATAACAATTTTGCTTTCGTGGCCAGTGCGATAGCTCGTTTCGTCACATGGTCTTTTGAGCGCGTTTTCATGGACTTGTAATGATGCTGTCGTGGCTACTTCTAATTAAAAGAAAACTTTTCTCACATGTTTCTGTGGAAGTGCTCCAGTTTCTTAGAAGACTTAAGAGAACTCCTAGCTGTAAGACATCAATTAAAGGGCTCGAGCAAATACATTGGCAAACAACTTATATTTTCCAGGAAATGTCAAAGTTTGAGATGTCCATTGGCCGGCCTTGGCAGGGGGGAGGTCGGAGGGTGGGAGGCCGGAGGAGGGAAGGAGAGCGAGGCCTCTTCAGTGAGAAAATTTTTTGCTGCATGTGAAAGTTGAAAAGGTGCGACATATCGTCGGTAGTAATAACCCAATTATGATGAAAATGTAGCTTACCATTTTATTGCCCCGAGCCCGATAATTATTCCCACATATCAAAAGGCCAGATGATAAAGTACAAAATCTTGGTGATTGCGCTGATAAGTTTTGTTTCGCTTCACCTTTTTCAATTGGCGCTAATTGCAAAAGCTCGATGCGTAAGGAGAGCATCGTGGTGAAGATGGTGCAGCGAAAATGTGATGCAACGCAGTCCAGACTGTAATCTTATTCCTGGAAAAACTCGGGGAAATGATTGATGAGCATGCCATGGACTCGAAACATGACATTTTTCTTCAAGTCACGACGGGAAATCGTGCAGTTTTGTCTCTGGCCCATCGCCTCATTCAGGAAGCAACTTTGCGAACTTGTAGTCATGCAGATAATGAACACCTCGCAAAAGTTCCTCACGTTTTGGTTACGACATGGGCCATCCTCTTGATCAAGATCATGGCCGTTCTTGTCCACTCGTGCTATATTGAGGTCCACACCCGACCAGGGGGAAGGCAAATGAGTTGTGGCTGGCACGTGAGTGAGAGAAAAAAATGGACCCCACCCATGGCGGGACTTCCCGATAACTTCCAGGGCTTATGTGTTCCATATATATGAAAGTGGTCTCCACCCACGATACACGAGCAGGTGCTTTTTCTGAACGATGTGATCTGGTGAACTGGATTTGACTAGGAGGTGGGGGGGGGGGCAGGCTGGGCCGCATGAACCTGGAAAATGGATTTCAGACTAGACCCATGGACTGTTGATATGATATTGGCATGTCATCAGGGACAGACCTTTCCCTAGCTTTCTTGCATCCACCCAGTGACAAGAAAAGTAATAATGAGAAAGTTTCACACTTTTTCACTTTGAAAAAGGCATACCTGACATTTACAAGGCCTGCATAAATTTTATGTGCAAGGACTCAAACGGTCCACAAAATAAATGCCCGAATGCACCCAGGGCTCGATTAACGGTTCACAAAATTCTCTCCAGGACGAAATAACAGCTCTAAAAAAAATTTTGAAGAAAACAAACAAAAAACAGATACTAATACCCTTTGAATTCAAGAGGAGTGTTTTCTTCGAAACAGGTTCATCTCTCTCGACTCCTCCTTGTTTACGAGTTTCCGTCTCTCTTTCCTTCATCCCCTTCACGTTCTGCATTAGCAATGCAGAAAGCGAATCACCGAACACTTCTGTTCTCAGGCACGCTCAGCCATGCGAGCTCGGATTAAGATATGCGCAACGAAGAAATGAGGAGACAGAAGAGGAGACAGAAGAGGAGACAGAAGAGGAGACAGAAGAGGAGACAGAAGAGGAGACAGACCTAAGGAATCCAGTTCTCGAAGATGCTCCCGACCCGATTCTTTCCCTGCTGCCGCGCCTTCGACCTGGGGGAAAAAAAAAGAGAAAAACTTTGAATAACATAAATTTCACTTTTGAAATGAAGAAAAAAGCTGCTCCTCATATCCAATCCGCAAAAAAATTAGAGGAAATCTTAAACTAGACAGGTCCCATTTGCATTCAGTTATTTCGTATATTCCTCGGAGATGGCAGGCACGGCTTCGACAGAAATTTCCCAGAAATCTTCTGGGATTTCGTCCTAGAAACATTTTAGGACTCCATTCGTCATTGTCTCAATGCCTTCATCGGACGATTCGGCAAAACTTTGCAAATCCAGATGCAGGAACCATCGAACAGAGTCCCGCGTTTGCACCGTCGCAACTTGACTTCGCGATCACTTGCATGGTATTCCACGAGTGAGGAAGCCAAAACGTGTATTTCCCAGAGGTTTTTAATTAGCATTTCAGGAAGCCAACAGGAAAAAAAGTAAGAATTCAATTTCGCGGAACCAAGACTTCTCGATGATTTTTGACCGGAATCTCTATGCATGAAGTCATAATGCGATAATACCGTGACGTGACGAGGATAATCTGCACAGGCAACTCAATGGCAATACCGTAGGTCGCACAGGCAACTCAAGAGCAACACAGCACGGGCAATTCGCGAGAGCGCCTCTGGCTCGCAATTTTTATTTTTCTCATGCTAGGTCGATTCCCCCTCATCACACTAAATTTGCATTGCATTTCCCTTTGGGAGTCCTGAGGGCAGGACCCGTAATGTGCACGAAATGAGAAACGCTCGAGCGCGATGATATCGGTGTCACTGGCGACCTTTTCCTCGTCGCGATGTGGATCGATCTCCCAAGCGAAATAATTAGTTTGACATAAATATAAAACCATCTCGGGAAGTTTCGAGGACTGTTGTCTTAATAGCACAGTGTCGGGGTGATGGTACGGCGATAGGAATCGATCACAGATTTTTTAAATAATTGCTCACAGTATTCTCAGGGAATAACACGATTCTGAGAGAATGAGTACGAAAGGAATATGAGTTCCTGCTGCAATTACGATTTGAATAAATGGCGTATGGCTGCAGTCACCTGTTCTTGATATCGGCATCGGCCACCATTCTCGAAACTATTTCAATCGCAGCAACAGCATATCGAGCCTCAGTTTTCTCCGAAGAAATCGTAAAACGGAATTGAAAGGAAGAGAGGAGATTCAACCGATGGCGGAATTTCTGCTCCAATCCTCCTCATTATGATTAGATACTACGTAAGTGGCCTCGCAAGTATTCCAAAACGTTCAACAATTTATGCTAAACCTCCACATGGAATGAATTTCTGCCCATTGACATGTTATAAAACGGATCAGATGCGAATAGAGAATTCGAGAGGATTGGGTTAGAAAATATTTTTTTCCGAAACTTCGAAGGTTTCCTGGACCGATCCGAGCAAAATCCGCCATGTTGTTACATTTTCAAAAGTGTCGTATGTCCATCGGGACAGATCGGAGCAGATGTTCGCCGCGGTCTTGCCTTTCAAGGTCGAGAGGAGAGCCTTCGCATAACAGGACCTCAATCAGGAGTTCCTCTATCAACGCAAATTTGACAGGATGGTTCGTATTTTATGCTCAATTGCAGTACTGCGCCATCAGTCATACTTCCGGTACTTCAATTCTCCCCCACACGGGAACAGTTCATCTGTTTTCCTAGGTCTAAGGTCCTGCTCCTTTATAGTCCCCTTATGTGCTGGATTCCCCATGGGGAAGTGAAGTTGTGTTCAAGAGTGAAGTTGTCTTTCTCTTCCCTTCATCTGTTCTCGTCCCTTTTGGACGGCCGTGATTTACATTCGGGATACGTGCCCAGTCCCTTCCCTTTGGTCCTGAGGGAAGGCTTCAATCCTTTCATTAGAGCGGGAGTCTTTCAAGGGAACCCCAGGGTGCCCACAAGTCACGGATTTGCACCACTGTTATTGACCTTCGCGGAGATGCGAAAATCTTTCTGGGGAAAATTCCCTCATCCATCTCTTTTATCACCTAAATGGAACGAGGGGAAAGAGGGGAGAAAGCCGATGTGGATTGTAGTGAAGGAAGTGTTAAGACGATCAAGGGAGACAGGGCAATTACGAGTCAGTCGGGGACTACCGAGGAAAAGTCCCTCCTCTCCTGTCACCATCTCCATCAACCTCGGATTACCCTCTCTTTGGAGGGAAACTCCCTTTAAACCTCCTGAATCCCCTCCCATTTTCTTCCTCAGGCGAACAAAATGAATTAGGGGTCCGTCGGAGGTGTCGGATGCGACATCCGGAATAATACATTTGATACGCATGGTGGATTTAAGAACGTCACACTTGCCGAACCGACCTGTGAAAGCTGCAACATTCAGTCTTTGGAAGAGACCGAAAGTTCCATCATCCAAACTCCAGACTATTGAAGTTCAAGAACAATATCCACGCATTTGCTGAATTTGCTTTTTTAGATTCCGCGGAAAACTTGACGCAAACAGATCCTTTGAGAGCAGCGCCAATTCTTTCGGTACTGGGCCAATGGAACTCACTTTTGAATGACTATCAGTATTTAGATGCACAATCTACATCGCGCATCAGCACCATCATTTTAAAACCGCCGATTTGAGTGCATGCCAGCCAAGCCGAGTCAGCAAAGTCTCGAACTCATGCTAGTCCATTCCCATCATGCACTGAGCAGACGTGACATGTGACACCCTCCGGCTTATTAAGAAAGAACTGAAGGCCAATGCAAGCCAATGTGGCAGGTGCAGCACATCTCGAGGCCAATTGGATGAAGCCTTCAGGAACGAGCTGATTTTCTGTCTCCTGTGGCAAGATATCCGGATCTCTTCCCTAAGCTTCTCTGAGAAACATCTCAAAGGGAAGTCATACAAGAAGAATCCCTTCAAGCCCATTTCCGAATAGGGAATACAGTGGTACATTAGATTTGATTTTGCGCCTTAAACTACGGGGTGTTCCGTAAGTCCCAGGTCACTTACCCAGTTATTGATCCAGTAGGTCAGTGTGTGCTCCACCATTGTCTCGGCACAATATAATCCTTCTCTAAGTTCTAATAATTAATTAATTATTAATGTATTAATTAACAAGAACTAAGAATTAATATCTATAATAATCATTGTAAATAACCATGACTTACGGAACACCATGTAGACGGATGTGCATGCAAACCTGCACACATCCGTCACACCTGTAAGAGGTTAGATAACGATGTCATCTGGGCGGAAACAGCGAACTTGTCATTCCTTTGCCGTGACTGAATTTTTTACTCTAAGGGATGAATGACCCAGACCAAACATGCTTTGCTCGAGTGGCATCATTTCGTTAATAGTGTTTGGTTCACAATCTAGATTATCGATATTTTTTTTGCTTGATTGCTTGCGTGAATCTCGGCCCAGAGAAGCAAGAGTTCCAATATGGAGCTTGGGGGACAGAGGGGCAGTGGGACATTTTGAGTGCCTTTCAGATAATCAACATTCAGCAGAAAACCATAATTTGGAACGATGAAGAGTCTTCACCTTTTCTGTGGCCCGAGCTGTCCTCTAACGGATGGATTCACAAAAATTTTCTGGTTATATAAATATTTTAAATAAAATGATATTGTTTCTCTGCACACTCCAGTCTCCCCTACGCTTCACACAAATTAAACTTTTGCGGTAACTTATGGACGCATTTAAAGATGTCAGGGGAGTCATTTCCAACAATTTTTTCCTGGTATTTGATGAAGGCAATCACGTTCATGTCCATGAACCATGTTCAAGGTACATTTCAGTGAAAATGTTGGCTCCTCCATGACTTCTCTTTTGTCCCCTTCCCCCTAGTAAATTTTTCATTGCCCCACTAAGTGCACTGCTTCGCAATGCAATGGATTGAAAGCACGTTTTGTCACATTGATTCAGTTACGCTGTCCGTCCTAGATTACATTATATAATGAGATGGTCGCATCTGTATTCCGCAGCCTAATCAGCAATGATTATTACCCGCATCGGTCTGTCAGGAGAAAATTAAGTTAATTGCTGGTATCGAGAGCCTAATAAAGCAAAAAATGAAGTAATCTCTCTCCCTCTCCCATTGTCATCAATATACAGTCGAAATTTTTCGCTGCAGAAAGTACACAAGTTCCTCAGATAGACCCCAGCTGTGTAGAGCTAGAGCGAAGGATATGTGACGAAAGACAGAAAGAGCTAGTAACTAACTTTTATTCATTTGAAGTTTAAGTTAAGAGGGTTTATTTCTTACCTTCTTTGGAAGCAGTCTGGGCAAGGCAGGCGATGAAGAAACCTTGATTTCTGTCTCGAGAAGAAACCGATAGCATCGCTCTATTTACTTGTTTTTCACGAACCCAATCTTTCAAGGAAATCAAATTTGGTCGTTGTGAAGAACGTGGAGACGAGAAAGTTTGCTTTGCTTAGGGAATATTTTTCCTCTCATGGCTTCAAATCGTTTGCAGGGAGGAGGATATGAGGCCGATGAGGAAGAATGAACCTCACCTATGCCCGGGAGTCTCTGAGGGTCTCCAAGAAGCATCGCAGAGGAGACATTTTTCATCGGAATTTCCTGCGGGATTCTCCCTATACCTGTCAAATTCTTCCACCCCTCGCGTTGATGGGAGGCATCCAAATATGCGGGCTCGCTCTTCACTTCTTTCTTCCTCCCACCACCCCCGCCAGAGTTTTTAAAGATGAGAGGCCGCAGAGAGTGTACATTTTAGAATTTAAACCCCTTTCTTGATATTCCTTTTGCACAGCTCCCTTCTGGCACCAAGACGTTTGAGACATTTATGGCTTCATCCTTCCATATCCACGCACAGGTCCATCAAAAGCAGACGATGGAGAGCAACGGCCACCCCCCTACCGCCTTTTTATATCACCCATGCCATTAGATGATACATGGTCGCCTCGGATGTGTGGGGGCAGGGGGTCAAGGGTCGAGGGGCATTTTCCCTCCTGCTGACATGGCTATCAACGGGTCATTATCGGTCAGCTCCGAAGTGCCTCACGGATCCCTCTCTTAACTCAATCGTCATCTGTCACACAGATGACGAAGCAATGCGCGAAATTGTCTACAGCATAATCACTTTCATCATCGCAGAACCTTCATTGCCAAACAGTAACCAACATGCTTTTGCGTTTACGCTTCCTTGGCCGATGGTTACCCATGACAAGCAGAGAGGAAAACCATATCTACTGGTATTTATCACACCCTCAATTTCTTTCTGGGCCCCTTTATCAAAGGAATTTCTTCGAGAATCTGTTTTTTTTTTGCATACTATTGAAAAACGTTTGAAAGGCCAATTCCAAAGAAGGGAGTGAAATGTCCCCGATACTAAAAGCACTTCGTGTTTACTATCTCGGTGACTGGAATATTGACTTGAAAACCCCAAGCTTAAGCCACGAAGAAGTAGGAGCGCGTTACATTCTTCTTCTATCTTTGGATTACTCCGAAGCATGTGGTCCAATTCCACAGTAATAAATAAGAGTTAGCGAGATCTAGTCTGCGGGATCGAGAACGAATGCGAGAACGGGATGACGTCATCAATTGCGTCACAAATACAAATGAAAGAATGGATGGTGAGTCCTGCCCACTCTCGTTTGCGGTCGCGCTCCCAATCTTGCCTTAACTCCGCAAACCATTGTCTCCCTTTAGGATGGTTTCCGCTCGGCTGAAGTCTGCTGACTTAATTCCTCTTCCCGAAACAAGGGGCTTTACTCTCCCCATTCATCGTCCCATCTCCCCTCCGTCTATTGTTGGTAAAGTTGCTTGATCCCTCGGAAAGTCCTATTTGAAGATCTTTTGTGAGAAGGAAGAAATAAGAGTGTGGTCATTGACACGCTATATAGCTTACGCCTTGCTAAGACGTTTTCAGAAAATAAGAGACATTTCGCAAGACAAGATGAGACTTTCCTCGAAGAGACATTTTCAACTTCCTTGCCGTCGGAATGCTTTGAAACCGTTTTGTTCGTGCTGTGTCTCTTTCGCATTTTGGCATTTCCAAAACGTTCCACTGAGTTTAGCCTGGAATTTTCCTCTGCAGACTTCAGGACCATATTCATAATTCACTCAACTACCTCATCCATTATGATCTGCTACAACCGGTACCGACAATCTGTCGGTACTCATTATGGTACCATGTCCCCAGGGAGCAGGTGAGGGTCTCGCTCCTGGATTCCATGTTCAAAGAGACATCCCAGTGGATCGCTTTCAATCCCGATAAATGCAAACTTCTCATAATGAAGAAGTATTTTCTCTTTACTTACCTTGTACTTGAACGTACGAGTCTCGTACGTGTCTTCATCCAAGTCCTCCACCAAAGCTTCTTTGACTCTCAAAAACTACCTGGGATCCTCATATTCATGGCACAGTCCATTTCTCGTGCCTTTGGAACGCCAGAAGACTCTTCGCCTTTCTTTATCACTGTTACCCGACCATTTAACTTTAACCAATCGAGTCTATCGATGCTTTATTCGTTCAAATGGATCCAGTAGTTATTTTGTTGTCATTGGTGACTTTCTAATGGTAAGTGGTTGTTGTAGTGATTCTCAACCTCTATTTTTTTTTATCACGAGATGGAGATTTAGTGATTTCAAAACGGCAGTTCAGTTTCAGTTCGGTTTTAGTTTCACTTTAAACTTTCTTCTGACTGAAGTTCCACCCACAAAAATTCCCAACCGGAACTGAACTGCTACTGAACTGCAGTTTTGAAATCAGCTAACGAAATTAATCACTACCACAGTCTCCATTAAAGTATTTTGCCTACAAACTCCATATCAATATAGAAAAACTACAAGACTAAGGTGGAATGAGCACCAAGTTATGCAATAGTAACGCTAACTCAATTCCACTTAATAAGGAAATCTAGATAACGCGCTACTTGGTATTCTTGGTATTGAACTGAGCTGAGTTAAGCCCTCCAGAAGTCGGCGATCATACTCCCGATGCCATTGAAGTTAGTGCTGGAGAATCCTATTACATAAATCCAGGACGTTAATTAATCCGGATCTCAGAATAGCTCTTCTGCAGAAATCCTAAGACTTGCACAATTCTCCTCCAAGGAATACCGACATGACTGCATGGCTGATGGGAGGGCGTCTGGATTCTCGGAGGCTTAATATATCATCAATTTCTTCTCCCAGTCAACCCCCCACACACACACACACACACACAAAACACAACAATCGGCAATGTTTAAAGATCGATCCTCCCTCAGATGGTGACTCCTCAGCAGAAAGATTTAAGCATTTATTTTGCATGGTGTGCTTATCGTATTCATTTTGAATAGATAACTTTAACATTTATTTTGCCACAGCAGAAGCGCGAATTATGATAAAGTGGCTTGAAAAATGAGGGAAAGAGGTCCCGAAACTAAACATTTGGAAAGAAATCGTTTCGAGTATTCTACTGCCAAGTGTAGAAACATCCTGAGATCTAGAAGTCCTTTAAGGGCCATGATTGATGCATTGATTAGTCATTTTCGGTGCCGTCCTCATGTCTCACTCTTGCCTTTCGCTTGATAAAAATAATTTATGCAAATAACTTGAATCTCGGCAATCTGGCCGGAGAATCCGATAGTCTGAACATTCGTTTATTAATTCATTGCACGTAAGATCCGCTGGGAAGAAATCGGACGTCAGCAGAACATTCAATCATCCTGAACAAAAGCGATAGAGGAACGTCCTCAATCACATAAGACATGATGAATTTTGAAAACATGAGACTGCTTTTTGACGTCAATGCTCGGGATGGGAATAATTCAAGGGGCGATCGCGTGCCTCCACCTAATAGGGTCTGCATCCCACACGCGAGCCTCAACAGGCTCATTGCCTTTTGAGGGCAACTTCATTGAAGTCTCTCATCCTCGTTCGCAAGAAGCACCTCATGGAGACGGCTTGAATTCTTCCAACAATGAGAGCCTAATTACCATATATAGTCTCTTTTAGAGTTCATCAAATCTGTCTAATATTCCTATTCCCTGTGGACCTTTGGAATTCCAAAGGATGAACGATGAGATAAACAGTTTTAC